GGGGGGGGGGACACACACCCGATCGGCACCCCATACATGCGATCGACCGGCTCTACAGCCGGCGGATCGCATGTATATTAACGGGCATTGCTGCCCGTTTTTAAATTCCGCTCATTTCCCGGTGGCACGCGCAAGGGGGCGTGTCTGAGCGGACGTCTAGAGACGCCCGCTCAGATCGAGAGAGCTCCTGGCCGGCCGTTTTTTTACTACGGCCGGCCCGGAGGCAGTTAGAGGATTTCTGATTGGTTGCTATGGCATACTGCATCTTATGTCCTTTATTGTACCGGTATGAAACTAGATTATCAGTGCAGGTTAGATAAGGAAAGGTTTTATCTATTTGGTTGTACAGATTCCCTCTGGGATGGGTAAGCCACAAGATATAGATACACAAAATAATTGCCAACCCTTCTCTTCTTATGCACCTCATTTTTCTTTATTCCCTGTACACAACCAGTTAGGACACAATCAGGCTTCACCATCTATATACGTATTACCTGCCCAGCATTTTCTGCATGTCAAGTTGATAGACCAGGGTAGGCAACCTGGGCCCTCCAGCTGTCGTGAAACTACAAATCCCACACGCTTCTGCCTCTTGGAGTCATTTCTGTGGTTGATGGAGTCTTGTAATGCCTCATAGGACTTGTAGTTGCACTACAGTTGGAGTGCCAAGGTTGCCCACCCCTGTGATCGACAATCCGACATGCATGAAACACATAGGGATACAGAAAATATCTGTACTAGGGGTAACCAGACGTACCTGACATCATTCAGGTCACATTTGTTTCCAGCTATTGCCACCACGATGTTGGGGGGCCCGTGCTGGCGAAGCTCCTTCACCCAGTTCTTTAACGTTGAAAATGTTTCCTGTAAGAAAGGTGGAGATTAGCAGGTGGACATTGGGCTTACAACACACACGTTACCATCTGACTGTACAATCTCTGTACAATCATCCTTTAGGTCTACCACATCTATTTAATTTGAGGATCTACCTGAACTATCCAATCAATCTGTATATAAGGAGGCAAGCCCTCACACTACATGCTTGTTGGTAGATCTAATGTAGATTGGACAATCAGATTGTAATGCAAAAAAAATTAAAGTGACAGGTTCTATTGAAACCATTGACACCCAAACCCTGTCAGGGGCAAATTCTGCTCACCTCCTTAGTAATGTCATATACTATAACGGCCGCCGTCGATCCTCTGTAATACATTGGAGCCAAGGCACGGAACTAGAAGGAAATAAGACAGATCTCTATTAACACAACAAGAAACAGATCACAGAGCTCACCATTCCTGAAAAGACCCATACAGTTAGAGTGCACGAAAACGACACACAGTTATGAAATGATGACACATGCGATGGAACAGACCCACCATACTGGGTAAAACATTTAAGCCAGTCAACTATTGCCTTCATCTGAGTGGATAGGTATCCATAATGGAGCAGAGGCATCCAGAGTAGTAATAATCAGTCCAAGGAGGACACGGATTACTTGATATAAGTTGTAATTATTAAGCACCAAAATAATGCGTTTTAAGGTTGCTAAGCTATGAATGGTTGCCCATTGATGCAGTATTTTCTAACTGACACAGGTGTCAGTGTAGCAGTTCAGATTACCTGTTGTTGTAGTAACATTGCTCAAAGCTTGAAGCAGAACTAAGCAGGCAGAGCAACAATGTTAGCATATGGAGTCGAAGCTTACCCGCTCTTGTCCGGCCGTGTCCCATATAAGAAACTTATGGAGTTCGTTCTGGTACTGTACGGTCTTGGTCATGAAAGAAGCCCTGAAACATAGTTTAAAAGGAGTCTGTCAGGATGGAATTATGGGAGTTACCACTACTGAGGCAATCAGAAGGTCAGAGGTCACCGGAGGCATGTACAGTTCCTTAGCCAAGCGCTGAGTAGCTGTTCTGCAACACTCAGCTTCACTAAATGCTTTGGCTGCACAGTGCTCAGCAAGGCGGAGGATCATATGTTTGACTCATAAATACCAACGAATATCTGGTGTGCTCGTCCACCAAAACATTAAATTGTAGGTTCCCACACTGAATTGATTTTAGGGATGCACCGATACCGGTTTTTCGGTATCGAGTACCGATATTTTTTTTTCTCTACTCGCTGAACCGAATACCGAAAGTCCCATTAAGGAAGCCAGGCGGCTTGCAAAGACTCGCCACCCAGCTTCCCGATTAGCATGGAAGCCATCTCCATGGTCCCTCGTCACCAAGTGATGAGGAAGCATGGAGCCAACTTTCTGGCCAATCAGAAAGCCGGGGGGCTGGTAATGACTCACCGTCCGGCTTCCTGATTGGTCAGAAAGCCGGCTCCATGCTTCCTCGTGACTTTGTGACGAGGGAGCATGGAGATGGCTTCCATGCTAATCGGGAAGCTGGGTGGTGAGTCTTTGCAAGCCGCCTGGCTAACCCTAAGTGACGAGGGACCATGGAGCCAGCTGCCTGGCCAATCAGAAAGCTGGGCAGAGTGTAATGACTCGCTGCCCGGCTTCTCGATACCGGAAGCTCAGGTATCGGGCTAGGCATCGGAGCATTTGGGCGAGTATGAGTAAGCGCCCAAATACTTGGCATCGACACCGATACTGATACTAGTATCAGTGCATCCCTAATTGATTTCCTCCATCAGGGTTCAGACACCTTTCTCCAGCGCTGCCAGGTGTGCCAACAGTTAAAATGGCCGCTGGTGCTCTGTTCCCACCTTCTCCATCACACTCAGCTCACTGCATCCACATTCACTTCTGCTTCCAGTGCTAAAGTAGCAGTGCTGAGCGCTGACTTGCAGCACAGAGTTCAGCGTCAGTTTGCTAAATCAGCGCTCGCATCGGCTGAGCAACTGAAAACGCCCCTGATGTCTGACAGTTCCCAGCATGACGTCCTATGCTGTCAATGACTAAGTGTGCCTTGCAGGAGGTCAGGCAGGTCACAGGAAGCTGGGAGAGAGATATAGAGTCTTCATTAGTAAGCCTGCACCGCTATAATAATTATAGACATATAGAGTGGGAAAGGGTTAGAACCTTTAGGGAACCTCGGAATTCCAACCCATCGTGCCTCTGCCTCGGGAAGTCATGCCTGTGGCTGTCAGAGTCTTGCAATGCCTTATGGGACTTGTAGTTCCACAACAGCTGGAGTGCCAAGGTTGCCTACCCCTGCTTTACTCCTGCCTGTGTGCCCGCTGGGAAGATCCACTCTCTTTATTTCCCCTGGTGACCCCTCTCACCAGAACAGATAATAATGAAGATTTCAAAATGTGACAGTCACAAGTACAGGAGGTGAGGGTGAATCTTCCAATGGGGTAAAAAAAAAAAAAGAAGCTCTCCTACTTCCTGTTGTGTGTCTGAGACAGGAAGTGAAGGGAAATCTTTTCGACAGAGCCCAGAAAGCAATAGAAAACCCAACAGGGATTTTAAATATTGGCTAGAGAGACATTTTAGAACTGTGGTACAACCTTAGCTGGAATGAGGACACACATAACACTCACCCAATAGTTGGATTGATATTGGGGTCGAAGCTGTCTTCTACAAACCGCCAGACGATACTCGATTTCCCCACACCCGTGTCCTGCAGAAAAACAAACCAGGGTCAGAGCGGAGACAGGCAGTTTAGTATAAGAGCTCTGGACGTAGCATTTAACACGCAAGGCAAGGGAATAATACAGCTGGGCTTTAACCTGTATTTAAAGTAATGCTCCATGTTTCAGATCTGTCACACCCATATTTAAGGTTTAACATAAAACAAGGTCACATTGCCCAGCCCAACCACCCCCATACATCATGAATTACGCAATATCTATATTAGGGAACTTGTGTGCATTGGCAGGCTTCCTGCCTAGTAATGCTACACAACGACTGTGCCTTGCTGATCCTCTTGTTACTAAACAGCATGGATGGAGCAATCTCTACTGATGGCTATTCTATTCGGACAGCCGTGACACTCGCAGCTGCCAGAATAGCAGAACGTTGATAGAATCTGATAGGATGCAGTCACTGTTTGACTGATAACTTTCCGACAGGCAGCTCGAATTTTGGCCAATTCACCGGAAGTTTGTAGACTGCCTGCAATAGGACAGACTCTCTGCAGTCTCTAATGACACAAGGCACTCACAATGCTCCTGGTAGGCAAAGTACACAAGGCAAACCCTTTCATCTGCTTTCTTGTCATTAGAAACGGCAGGCTCAGCAATGTAATGATTGGTAGCCAGAGACCATGTGATCAAAGTTCTCTGGACCCTATAACTCACTCATGGCTCAGTAACAGGTTAACTCAATAGCCAACCCTGCTATTTCTGGTGCAGTTATTAAAACACGGTGGTCTGGAAATGCCGTGCACCAGCCCAGATAGTTTATTACTACTTTAAAGGGCTCTCAGGATTTGATTGCTGCCTGCTTTCCTGTTGGGGAGAATTTCCCTCACTTTCTGTCCCAGAGATAGTAGATCGGGGTAGGCAACCTCGGCACTCCTGATGTGGTTAAACTACAAGTCCCATGAGGCATTGCAAGACTCTGACAGCCACAGATATGGCTCCCAGAGGCTTGATGGGATTTTTAGCCTCACCACAGTGCCAAGGTTGCCTACCCCTGCAGTAGTCATTCATCAAGGAAGCAAAGGCCATAAAAACCCAACAGAGGTGCCATCCCTTCCACACGGCACGTGAAACTAAAAGCAAAGCTCAGGGCGGCAATCTGCATTAATGCTCCGGGTTGCTGTAGATAAGAAATATTTTGTGTCTACATATTTTCACCCGAGCTTGCTCTCTAGGAATGTGGTTACAGAGAATATTTGCTCTGCACTTGATAAAATGTACACTGGCCTGTACGTCACTCCTCTGCCTACACACAATGGCTGTGGTCATATTGCATAGACGAGAGGGGTGATACACACACCAGCTATGGCCATCTGAGTCACAGCAACACCCCCAGATATATATATAGACTGAGGAAGGATACTAGTAATAGTAACAAGTGCTGCCTAGGCATAAAGCTAGAAAGAGGAACTCTGGGCGACCAGAAACAAGGTGAACTGTATATGGTAGCCAGCGAACATTGGCGAGTTTTCACTTCCTCTTTGTGACTTTTCTTTGATAAGAATCAGGTTCTCCAAGCTGCTCATGTAGGCAGGAAGGCTCTATGTATCTTTGCACTGCGCAGCCCTATTCTGGCTATAGAGACAGCCAGGAGCTTGCAGTGGGTGGAGCTGGGAATACCTGGGCTGTACATTCGTGTGACTCAGTAACTGGTGTTCTCAGAATAACAGTTTATGGGAGTAAGGGGAGAAGGTTCCTATAAGCAACACATATTGCACCTCTAAGGTAATGGCCCGCCCCGCTCATCTGCTGTGGATCACAAGCTCCAGCTTGTGGTGTCTCAGCAATGTTGGTTGTGCTTGTAAGTGCAACCATTGACATACGTGAGTTAGCTTGCATCGCCATGCACTTATTAGCGTGCAATTATCAGCTGTCCCTGATGCTGGGCATGCTTACTGGCTTGAAGGGTATTTAAACCCTTTACCCTCTGATGCCTGGTGCTGTGATTTCGTGCCAGCTATCATAGAGTGCCAGAGAGCTATAGTGCTGAATCTATCGGCTGCCCATTGCTGACCTGGATTGATCTGACTACTCTTCTGGTTGCCTGGACCTGACTCATCGGACTTGTAGTTTCACCACAGCTGGGGTGCCAAGATTGCCTACCCCTGCTTTAATGCTTCTTCCCCCATCCTCCAGAGTGGCAGCCACTTAGTAAAATGCTTTCATCCACCCAACTCCTGAGACCTTGGCCAATTCATTCCTATGGCTTGGTCTGTACTACTGTGGATGGCTGGGGGCCACCATGAGTACAGACCAGCCACAGAAATAATGGGCCAAGCAACTTGTACTCCTGTGGATGGCAGGGGGCCGCAATAAGAGCGGAGCAGCCATTGAAATGAATGGGCTAAGCGGCAGCATGCTGGCTCGATCTGCCGTCCTGTGGATGGCTGGGACTGCCATGAGTACAGACCAGCCACAGAAATAATTGGGCCATGCGGCAGGCATGATAGCTTGATCTGTAGTCCTGTCCTGTGGATGGATGGGGGCTGCCAGGAGTACAGACAAGCCACAGAAATAATTGGGCCTTGCGGCAGGCATGATGGCCTGATCTGTAGTCCTGTCCTGTGGATGGATGGGGGCTGCCAGGAGTACAGACAAGCCACAGAAATAATTGGGCCATGCGGCAGGCATGCTGGCTTGATCTGTCTTCCTGTGGATGGTTGGGGGCCGCCCTGAATGCAGACCAGACGTAGAAATCAATGGGCCATGCGGCAGGCATGCTGGCTTGATCTGTCTTCCTGTGGATGGTTGGGGGCCGCCCTGAATGCAGACCAGACGTAGAAATCAATGGGCCATGCGGCAGGCATGCTGGCTTGATCTGTCTTCCTGTGGATGGTTGGGGGCCGCCCTGAATACAGACCAGACGTAGAAATCAATGGGCCATGCGGCAGGCATGGTGGCTCCACTTAAACTCCTGTTGATGGATGATTGCCGCCATGAGTACGTACCAGCCGTAGAAATGAATGGGCCGAACGGCGCACATGTGTAGTCGAAACTGGAGGTTGGTGTGAATTTTTGTTGCCAAGGCAGTGGTGCATAGGGCTGGGCCATAAGGATTTTACTAGGTGGCTGCCACCAGGTAAAATGAGTCACGTCCATCCTCCCTGTTTATCGTGAACGGAGGAATCTGTTCGATTTCTTTCTTTCAGTCCGCAGGCGTGCATGGCCAGCTTTACAGCAACTGGCCTGGAACAAGTATGAAAGCCAGCGAACCAATCACAAGGCAGCCAGGCCACTAACATCTTCAGAAAGAAAGCTCAGCAATACCTCTCTATCAGCTGTGTTCTGTATGGAGGAGATTTTTAATGTCTTTATTCAATTCTTATTCTATCCATCTAAACTTGATAGATTTGTGTCCCTTCTCAACCTGTAACTAGGCAACAATGCCGGACTCCATATTTCCTTCTCCTCTCTATTGTGCCCCAACATCTTCAAATTACAAGATGATGTAGGCAATTCTGTAGATAATGGGTATGCTATGTAACAGTGCAGGAATGGTGTCAGGGCAAAGGACAAAGCTGGCCATACACCTTCAGATGCCGGGGCTGAACGAGAGTAATCACTCAACTGCCCCCATCCAATCACTCAACTGCCCCATCCAATCACTCAACTGCCCCATCCAATGATGAACAGCATGGATGATAGGATCTCCCCTGCCGGCTACTGTATTCAACAGCTGGTGGGATCCGTGGCTGTCAGAATATATATACACACACACACACACACACACACACACACACACACACACACACATATACACACACACACTGTATACGATCTCTGGCAGGTCCATAAGGTATCTATGACATATGCAATAGAAGTCACCTCCATGAACTGGAACAGCCAATCAGCTTCCAGCTGTCATACATATGTATTCACATCCGAATACCATGTGCTCGCTCTCATAGATCCCTCACCCAATGTGATATTAGATTTATTGTTGCATTGATTTGATGTGATGGTCACGAGTGACCCCCCCCCCCTTTCTGATCAGGTCAGGAGCACCTTGGTTAGGTGGGAGGTACACACTAGCTTGGCACTGGGACCCCACTGACAGCTGCCTTCTGGTTGCTATGGGCAACAGTGACACTTCCCTCCAGCCCAGTCTGTTTTGTTCCTGTGTTAGTACACAGAGTCCTTTGTTGGGTAACATTGTGACAGCAGATCGCACGTTGAAATACAGAATGTTGTTATCATTAGGACACACAGATATGTTTACCCAGACAGCCCCGTGTTATTGTGCACACATAGGAGCGGGCATGATGTCATAGCTGCTTACATAACATTCTATAAGCATCTCTCTATGGGGCTTACGGTGCAGGGAACGGGGATCGTCAGCACACTCACCCCCAGCAGGCAGACTTTCAGCTCCCTCAGGGCCATGTCAGATCGCAGAAGCCCGGGACCAGCGCGGATTCTCCGGCCTGCAGCACCTCGGCCTTCCCGGGGCCCTGCAGAAGCCGGAACCGCCCACTACCACGCCCCTTGTCTCTGGATCCGCCCTTCAGTACTGTGCTTTCGCCCTCTTACAACAGACTGTCTAAGGCCCGTCTCTCACATTCCTTCCTGTGATCTGGCTCCTCCCATTGCTCCACCCACATTGTCCTCAGCGGCCCCAGCCCAATTGCCATCCGGTTCTCGGTATACGTGGGGGGGACTAGTAGTCCCAGCATTCTCATAGCTAGCGAACCAGCCAGGACAGCTTATTACAGAAGCCAGGGAGTAAAATGTTCCAGATTATGGATTTGATTTGGAAACTGATTGTATAAAAATACCATAATAATGATAATAACAATAATAATAACAACTATAAAAATAGCATAATAGTGATAATAACAATAATAATAACAACTATAAAAATACCATAATAGTGATAATAACAATAATAATAACAACTATATCCATCCTGCCTCTGGAAGCCAGGCCTGTAACTTTCAGTCTTGCAATGCATTATGGGACTTGTAGTTTGACAACAGCTGGAGGGTCACATTTGCCCACCCCTGGACTGATCCTTTCCCACTTTATCCAAAACTAAAAAAAAAGGACACACTGTAACATGTATATTATTTCTGTGTGTGACCCTATTGGGCAGATTTTCTCTACTTCCTGTCCCTGTGACACCCGTACATGAAATGGTGGAGAGGTTGTCACCAGGATACTGAGGGATCTCTTGACTTGAAAAGCTAATTGTAACCATAGCTGTTCGCTTGTCATGCCAAACCTTCTCTCTGAGCAGAAGGGATCTAGTTTTGGCAAAGCCATGTGACCCCCACCCTGCATGTGTGTGAGCAAAGTGCAGGTAGGGACAGGAAGTGTGCAGGAATAATGCTGATCCCATGACTCACACCTCGCTCATCTCTACCTAAACCCTGTGAATACACATTCCTTGTCAAGAAATAAAGGAAATCTGGACTGCGTGAGATGCCGCCAGCTTCCGGCTGCCATGAAATTGTCACATTTAAAGTGTCTCTGTAGTTTTTTTTATGATCTGATCAAAGATTTACAAATCAAGATGTAGGACAGATGAATAGAAGGAAGAGAATGCCACAGATCAGAGATAAGTTTGGTATAAAGTTTCTTTCTCACAACAAAAGTTTGGAAGGTAAATCCGACGCGTTTCGGGGCTGACCTATCCCCCTTCATCAGGGCTGTAGCACAAGGTAACAAGAACATGTTATAAGTGAAGAGAATCTGAGACCGCTACACTAAAACTAAGGAGGAGCTCAGGCTTGGTCTGAGCCCGAGCTCCTATGAACACATGAGGAGAAGCAAGCTCCTTCTGTGCCATCAAATCAGCTGGGGGCAGGGAACTTCACTACCACAGTAAAGGGGCGGGATGCAGCGACATCATTGACATTATATGGCCACATCCCTATATTTAGTAAATGATATTCACATGGCTATGTGGCCATAAGGTCAATAACATCAGCACAAGCATCCCGCTCCTTTGTTAACATGCAGCTGCGGGGTGGGGTATGCCCCGCCACACGTTGCAGCTGATTGAGCGGAAGGCCCATGCCACTTCCCTGTTCAGTGGAGCTCAGGTTTAGAATGGGCTTGGTCCAAACCTGAGCTCATCCCGCTGATTTATAACCAATAGAAATAATTGTGCGTCCTTTAAGCCAATCTCTCGACTCTGCTCCTCTGTCCCACAATTACACCCCCCGCCGCCCCGCCGAAGGCCCTCTGGGGTATAGTTTATGGGGTTTTTTTTAAAAATTATACTTCCTGTTCCAGAAATTTTCAAGCCAGTCACATGACACATGGAATCCCCTTCCTTTTTGGCTCTTCCCCGGCAGTGGGCGGTCCTTAGTGATTTGTGACATTATGATCCCCCCAGGGGGCGGGTCCTTGACACAAGATCTCCTCTGGGTGTCATTCAACCACCATCTATTGGTGGAAGTGATGTTCCTTTGGCGGCAGCACCAGAAAGGATGTGAGTATTGCAACCAGAGTTTTTTTTAAACCAGCTGGGGGATCTTTGCTCCCCCCCCCCC